AAAAAAAAAAAAAATATATATATATATATATATATAAAATTAAAAAAAACAAATGATGGCTTTGGAATGCCTATCTTTGGCTTTAGAAATATAACAAAAGAGTTGTTCTGAGATGGTGAAGACAGGAAATCTCCAACCCTTGGCGTTTTTGATGGACTTGGGACAGGAGGGAGTTGGGGCCATTGGTGGGGGGTGTGCATCTCTCCCTCAACCCGTTGTTTGATGTGAACAATCGGCACCCTTAAGGGGTCTAGTAACAAAGTTAAACAGCTAGGGACGAGGAAGGAGACCTCAATGTTCTTCTCTTTGTCACCCCCCCCCCAAAGTTCCCTGTGACTATTGCAGCCTGGACCCTGCAGGGAACCACTGACCTGATTAGTGGGATGACTGCCCCACCCACCCAGGACCACTAAGGGGATTCTCTGAATCCATACTTTATTTGCCAAGACTGTAGCTTGGCTGTTAAACTGTGAAATGCTTTCTTGTGGTCTCCAGTTTGTCCCAGAAAATGGGCAGGTGTGAGACCTAATTGCTAGGGCATCAGCACCCAGGTAGCATGAACTTGGGTGATGATGTTTCTGTGGGAGGGGAGAGAGTGAGTGAGCTGGGGTGAAGGGGGCTAATTGCTGTACTTTAGATTTCATAGTAGAGGGGTGAAGAGGAGGGTTGAGTAAATTCTTTCTGGAATGGTGGGTAGGTGAGTAGGTGGGCTTCCTATGCCTCGGGAATCCAAATGAAAAAGAAATGGGAGGGTAAGAAAAAGAAATGGGACTAACTAGAGGTATTTCCTGGCCTAGAGGTCTGAAGGAAGGCTGTGGAATGTATTTAGAATACTTTCAGACCTGCAGGTTGTGAGTTTTTTACTGTTCTGGCCTGTTGCTCCTTTTAGAATTACAAATGTGTTTATGTGACTGTTTGATCCAAAAGCAATGCTCTGAGAAGCTGTGTCTTGAGGCTCTGAAGATAAGAAGTGACCACATGAAAGATGATCCTAGGTCAATAAATGCTGGTGGGGGTGTGGGCAAGGCCTCAATTTCCAGCCTGGGAAACTCAGGCCTTCTGGCCCTTTAAAGGTCACAGAGAGAAGGCTCCCCACCTCGCACCCCCTACTGCCTGTATAGAGCAATCTGCAGTGGAGCAATTCTGCTGCTGGGTTTGAGTCATTTCTTCTTGGAGCTTTGCCCCAAACTGTTTGCACAACTTAGGGTACTCTGAGACCTCATTTCCCTTCCCCAACACTCCCTTTGTAATCATGACCGGCAGGGCTATTTTAGGATTTCTGTAGATCCTGGAGTTTTCTGGTCTTGTAATTATTTATATGAGTCAGTTTTCATAATAAATTGTGTAGGAAGATCTGGGTCTGTCTTTTTCCTGAAACAGGAAGGGACAGCAAGTGCTTGATGTTCACGAGGGTGTAAGTTCCAGAGCACTGGCGTGGCCATGTTGTTCCCTTTGCTGCAAGTTTCGACAGACAAGCCCAGTGAAGATGCGTGGGTGTTCCTGGGGCCATCTGGGAGGCCTATCAGCTGACTTGGGGTTGAGCTGGGACTGACGTTTTGCGGCCTTCTTCTGCATTTGTGTTCCCGTCTGTCAGAGGAAACTGGCAGCGTGACTCAAACCAGTTTTCACCGTTGGTCTCGTTTTTAAACTGAGTCTGTTTGACTCAGTGATCTTGGCACCCTGCCTTTCTG